CGGGCCTGGCTCCTCCGTCCCCGGCGCTGCGCTGGTGGGTGCGGGAAGCGCCGCGGTGACTCGGCTGACAGCCGCGGTCACGCGTGGCCTGCCCACTGCCCGATCGTTGACTTCAGCTTCAAGAACAGGCTCTGCTATTAAAATGAACGTGGTGGCCACGTTACGGTGTGTTTCTGCCCCCAAAAGGAGGGAAGGGATAGCTGAAAGCTACGTTAGACTTTTATCGAGTGCACTGGTTTCTTTCCCAATGTATATAACCGTCAGGTGACTGGGGAAGTTAGTGAGGCTGAAATACAGGTCTGTGCCCTAAGTGTGCTGGTGCATGAATTTAATATTTCTGTACTCTGTTGTCTCTCTGCTGTGTTTTGATTTCAGTTAAGCGTGTATACTACCACACGGTCAAACATCGGTGCTGAGAGTAATATAGATCTGGTTTTGAATGTGGAGGATTTTGATATTGAGTCCAAATTTGAAATGTAAGTATCTGAACTACGAATTCCTTGTTTCATTCTGAAGTATGTATCTTAACGTAGTTACATGTATGGAAGTACGCATGAAGCAAGGTAGACTGTTTGTGATTGTTGTGTTGAAAGAGTAGAGTGGTGGTTCTTCTGTTCTTTGTTTTGGGGTTAAAGCTGGTTTTGCGTGCTGCACAGGCTATTCACTTCACACTTGTTTTCGTAAAGTAATAACCATATTTACCATGTTAAGGCAGGAAAGATGTTAGTTGGATTTCAGCCTTAGAGTTGAGGATAAAATGCTGCTGTTAATAAAAATAGTGGTTTTCTCTTTAGTTAAAGGTTTCTAGAATATTTTGTGAATTAAACACTGATAAAGTGCCTGCCTTGATGGAAATGGTCCGATAAGTTCACCTGGTGCTGAGGAATAAGCTCTTAGACAAACTTTCCTTAGGTTGAAAATCGTCTTGTAGTTGCAAGAAACGAAGCTTGCAAAACAAAGCTGTGCTAGTAAATACAGAAATGCTTGTTTCTCTCCTGTAGATTTTACAAATCTTGAACGCTGTCCTATGTTCTCTATCTTAATTTTCAGATTCCACTCTGAACATTCATCTCACTAGCTGTGCTAAATCAGTAATGTACATATGATGTGCTAAACTTAAGTATTGGTTAGTTTGAATCAGCATAGTGTTTTCAGGCATATAGACAAATGTTTTATAAAAGCGTGCTTTGCTTGTGATAGTAAAAATGATTTTCCGTTGTGAAAATACTAAGTCAAAGTGCCTGGAAATGCTTGACACTTTCCTCTAATAACACGTGTAGCCAGACTACTAGCTGCGTCATATTTTGTTTTTAATAGCCATGGATTCAGACCTGGGATAGAATTTAGAAGTCAAACTGCGTTCTCTTCCCATGTTTTAGCAACATGCTTTTCTTTATGTGTTTCAGTGCTAATAATCATAAAAGTAAACCTTTTTCTGATAGCTTAGAGTTTTGAGATCTTCTGAAGGGATGTTGGTGCTAAGATGGATTAAGGTTGTGCCTTTAGGCAGATTTCTGACTGCCCTCTACGTATGCCTCTGTACAATTAAAATCATTAGAACTATATTGTGCTTCATATTTGCTGCCTCACTTTGTTTAAAATAGTCGCCTTATTCTTGACTTGTCACAGAGTCTCCTAGGTTCTTTCATGTTCTGCGTTTTCTATAGTTAAAGAACCTGCAGTTTAGGTCATACTAAACCTTGTCTCGAATGGACTTGAAAATGTAAGAATTGTTTTACTGACAGAGTCTGCTAAGCCATTGAAAGTATTCAGAGCAAAATAACCTGAGCAAATTTACAGGAATAGAGGAGGCGTTGTGCAAAGTTGCAAGTCGGATAATTTCTTGGCGAACACAAGGGGAGTGACTCCATGGTTTGGGGCTCCAATCTAGACTTCTGTGTTTGGCATGCAATAACTGAGAAGATATTTTATTAATGTAAAGTGCTTGGCAAAACTTTGTGATTTTTTTTGTGATTTTTTTTTTTTAAAAAAACTTTAAAGTCCGTATGCAATCTGTGGTCCATATTCAGCACACGGAAGACTAGTTTCTACAAGAGCTGTGATAATTTTGGCACTATGACCTGTTGGCAGGGGAAAACAACAAAAGCACTGATGATGCAGTCCTGTGTTATCTAGGGTAATAAAGTATGAATTGGACAGAGATTAAACTATCTTAAGATAATAGTAAAACTTTGGAAATGCAAATGTTGTGATATATACTGGAGTATATAAATTGGTCCCATCCAGCCATGGCTCATCAGGGCATATTAGCCAGAACTAATTCTTGTGTGCCAGACAACCCAAATGTCTCTTCTTTTTTTTTTTTTTTTTTTTAAAGTCCCCAACCTTCTTTTGCTTGCTTCCAGAACATCTTCAGTCATCCTTATACATAATAGCTAAATATTTCAGCATGTGCTATGTCATCTCATAATATATTTATTTTGTCTTTTAGGACCGTGAATGTCTCTGTACCAAAGAAAACCCGAAATAATGGCACATTATATGCATATATATTTCTTCATCATGCTGGCATTTTGCCTTGGCATGATGGTAAGCAGGTGCATATAGTAAGCCCTCTGACCACATACATGGTCCCTAAACCAGAAGAGATTAATTTGCTCACTGGAGAATCAGCCACGCAGGTAGGTGGGTTTTCCATCTATAGATGAACAACTGCAAAAAAAGTGATTTCTTTTACAGACAGTTCTAGTGTTAGCATCTGCTGTGCTTGTATCTTTACGCTAATGATAATATTAGAAAAAAAAATAATCAAACCTCCTCTTCTTGATTATCAGCTTGTACACTAATAGTAGACCACTCAGCACAGCAAAAGTAGAGCACTCCATAACACTAGCTACTATTAAAATGCTTACCTAGTTAACATTAATTACTTCTTTAAGGATTCATTGCTTTTGGTAGAAATACTGTATTGTTCTGTAACAGCACGATGGTGCTTTCTATAGTAAGTTGGATTCATGTGAAATAATATGCTTTGGTTTTATGAAACAAGAGATATGAACTTGATTTTGAGGTTGGTGAGCAACTGATATCAAATTGCTTCTTTTCCTTTAAGATGTTCTTACTTTCCACTTCAGTTCAAGAGAATAAGATAGTGTCCTTTGACAAATGCTATGATTACTCACCAGTGGGGGGAAAAATGTAGTGTTATTTAATGAAATACTTGTGAATGGCTGTTGTGCCTCACATTAAGTGGAGCTTGAGAATTTTACTCTGCTCTTCTTTGGAATCTGAAATATACGTGTCACCAGCAGTGCTGTTTCTAAATCCTGTCAGAATAAAGTTGAAAATGAGTTGAGGCTAAAGTCCAACAGTAAAAGTCAGAACAGATGGTGTTCATCCAGGGAAAACCAAGTAGAATGCCTTGGGGGTAAGCACCTACTGAAAGCTAAGGTTGTACTTGGTTTCAGCACTGCTTTACACAGCATTTGGAAGCTCAGATGTTCAAAACAAATGGTCTGATCTTATTACTCCCGAAAATTAATATGATTGATCACTCACATCCTTTTGACTGTGTTGAAGTAACATCTGGTTATTCTACAGTCCTTATTTCAAAGCAACTTTTTCTGACTAGTATCCACATTCCTAAGGTATTAAGATTAATTAGATGAATATTCATTCTTGATGAACAAGGCAGTGAATGGGCACTGAATTTTTTCAGTGTCAGATTAATGGTGGGCTTTTATAACCTGTTCTGTCCTATTTTGGCAAAATACTTGACCTGGTCAAAATTAAGGTAAAGTGTTGCTTAGTGGGCTTCTGTTTTGTGATATAGTTAATGACTCCATAGTTTTTGTGAGCAAAGTATTATCTTATTCAAAATTCTGTATGTTTAGCGGTATGTATGTTCGTTCTATTTTTAAAGCAAATTGAAGCAGAAAGAGAGACCAGTGCTCTAGATGAACCTGTCTCTCACTGGAGGTCAAGATTAACCTTAAATGTCATGGTGGAAGATTTTGTGTTTGATGGATCATCCCTCCCTGCTGATGTTCACCGTTACATGAAGATGTAAGTTGATGACTTAAATTTGTTGTTATAAACTTACTGCACTTTCCTTCGAAAATCCTCCCTAGCTTCCTTTTGTATTTTATGTTTAAATTGGTCCTTAGAAGACAAGAATAAATATTTTTAATGCTTGCATTTTGGTAGTGGCAATTAGTAAGATATTATGTACTAGAAAACCTTATTGAAGATATCTTGTTCCTGGGCAGCTCAGAGTTTAGAATACTTTTTTGTATGGAGTTATCATAGTAAGACAAAGCAGAACTATAAAGACACAAGTAAAATGCTACAGCAGGCTTCATACCCCCTTGTCTCAAATCATACTTCTGGCCTTTAAGGCAATTGCTGTCCCTTGACCTTTCCAGTTATCCTTCATCTGCAAGTTATCTGTACAGACTGCAAGTGCTGAAGAGGCACAGCTGATCTCCTATGACGTCTTTTTTCTCCCTTTATGATTGGCTTTATTTTACTTTGACAATGTGTGTTCCTACATTATATCATTTTCTCAAGAAAATACTAAAAAGCAGGGATAGGTTTTTAGGCCACTGAATGTAGGCAGTAGCTTCTGTTCACAACTTGCTTAAATTACTTCCAGTGTTAACCATGTAAATAGTGCTGTATTGACTTGTGCTGCTGTATGTTGATGCCTTGCTCTACAAGTATCCTGTTAAATCCAGAAGTAGTTGCTTAATCAGCAGACCCTGGCGTTCTGGGAAAGCTTCCCAGCCAGAATACATAAACTTAGTAACTCGTAAGATAGGCCCATAACAAGAAGGGATTGGACTGGGGTTGATGAGCAAGGATATTTTTTTCTGGTCGTGTTTAGATATGCATCAGTGCTGTTTTGTCATTGCCTTATACAGGAAATAGTTTGGATATGAAATAGCCTGCTGCAATTCCACTAGCAGTAGCTTTAATTGTAGTTATTACATAGAAATCTAAACCTCTTCAGTTAGATAACCAAGCAGTTTCTGAGCCTCGATTTATCGCTTTTCTATATTACTGTTGCCCATTATATATTTAGTATGCAGTCTTTCTTAGCACACGTAGAGACTTCTTTCTTTTGTCAACAACTACAATTCAACTTTCAGGCTTTAAAAAGCTCTGTTACACTAGTTCCATAGACTTTTACCAAGAAATCACAGTGTAGATAACTGCCTTTCTAGTGAAGAACTTTAAGAATTTGTCTCTCTTAGGGTATTAGGCTGAATACTTTTCTATGATACTGACAAAGGAATTGCATATGGGTTATAATTTGCTAAGTAACTTTCCAGTGGTCAGTTTTGTAGAGGGCTCAAAGGCTGGGAAGTTTCCATTGGCTTCATGCAGGTTGGCGAGGTGGTAGAGCAACCCAAAGGAGAGCTTCTGTTGAGGAGAAGGCAGAGAAGATTTCTGCTCCTTGTGCAGTCTCTCCAGCAGTATCTCACCTTCCTCTGTGCATACCAGCCATCATGTTCGTAGTCCCATGCTAGCTAGAGCCTGTGCTGTTGCTGACCTGGTCGTGTCATTGAGGGTGCAGATGATTGGGGAGATGGTGGAGAGTTGTCAGTGTTGCAGTAGCAGAGGGATACTTGAGACAAAGGATACAAATACATGGTAGTAAATTTCAGCACATTTCTCTCCAACAAAAGTTTTTAATTTCCTCTACCCTCGGTCATGCAACAGTTTCAGCATCATCACAACCAATTTCATTTGTCTTTTTTTTTTTTTTTTTTTTTGCTTGTTGTGTCTTTCTACAGAAAAGTGAAAACAAACTAAAAGGAGAAATATGACATGCCTAATTTTTTATATAGACATCTCTCAATAAAAGACTCTAGGCTAGTGGCTTCTTTCTTGCTGTGTGTTGAAAGAAAATGTGCCTGAAAAGATGGTGGGAAATATCTACGTGGGTAGATCTGGAAGTGATGAATGAGTGCTAATATGAATAAAAGTAGTTTTCTTTTTAGATCATTACAGTCATAAAATCCATGTTTAAACATCCTAGGGTTCAGTTGGGGAAGACAGTGCATTACCTTCCAATATTATTTATTGATCAGCTAAGCAACAGAGTGAAAGATTTGATGGTGAGTAATAGAATACCTTTAATTACCTTTAACAATTTTAACAGTAATCTTCAATGTTGTTTTAATTAAGATTTTGTCGTAGTTGTTTGCTGTAATGAAAAAGTATACATTCACAAAAGGACTCTATCAATGACTGTTTAACTTAATGTAGTCAACTGTGGTAACTGTAGAGGCTGGATCTGGGTTTTGAGACTCCCCTCTAGCAGAAGTATCTGCCGAGCACTCCCTTCTATTCCACCAGAAGATACTTGGATTCCATTGTTTCTGCCTTTTGAGTGGATATGGAGCACATCACTGCAGCACCAGCTGTGGTGGGAGCAGTCTCATGAGCAATTTGACTCCCTAAGCTGGACAAGTTTTGTTAGCATCCCAGAGTGGCTTCTGATATGTTCTTGGGAAATGAACATACTGATCACAACTGATACTGGAGCTACACTGAGATAAGTCAGTAGCTGTTCTCTTATCTCCAAAAAATTCACTCATGGTTAAATTTTCTGGTGGTGCTCTCTATCACGTTAGAGTAACTTGAGCACCTGAAAGCTTGGTGTTGCAATACATCCAGTGATTTTGTGCACTCGAACAAATCAGGACTTAGAAACTTCAGTAATGGAATTACAGAAGAATGAGGTTGGATGAAACTTCTGGAGGTTGCTAGTCCAATGCCTCTGCTCAGGGTAGGGTCACCTAGAGCAGCTTGCTCAGGACCATCTCCAGTTAGGTTTTGGATATATCCAAGGATGGAGATGCCATAGCCTCTCTGGGCAACCTGTTATAGTGTTCAGTCACACCTGCAGTTAAAAAAAAAAAAAAAGTTTTTTTGTAGATTTAAATAGAATTTTCTGTATCCAGTTTATTCAGCTTTTGCCCAACTTTTCTCTTGTGGGAAATCACGCGATTCCTTTACTGTGAGTTACATATGGCAGTACCCTGCATCTAAACCATATATCTTAGCAGCTCTTTGTTAAGCCCTGCAGTTCTTTTCAGTTGCACTGACTGGAATTTAGCACTCAGAGTTGCTGAGAATGAAAGTCTTGGGGAATGTCTAAAACTGTTGAATGCCTATGTCCACATTCATCATTTTCTAGATGGAAGCCTTAGTAGATGTAAACTTTCCATAGACCTCCTAAATTGTCTTTCCAATTCATTAACTTTAGCTCACACAAAGAATTTCGTTACTTAGTGTTAGGGAGAATCTTCTTTGAGAACTTGCATCCTCTGCACCTCAAGCTTGTTGGGCAAAATAAACTCCTTAGCATTTGTTACAGATCTTGGTAGCAGATAGTTTTGTCCAGTATTTCTTTAGATACGCTTTTCTGATGGCATTATCCGTGGTCATTGTCCTTTGTTTTAAGTTTCTTACCACAGTTCATTCAGTTCAGTACATTCATATGAGCTTCTAACTGATCAAGTCATGTACCCTGTTTACAAATAAACTCAGCATTGTCATGTTATTAATAACATTCTTGCAGTTGTCATGTATGTCACGGTTAATGCTATCGTAACTCACCGCCTTAAAGTCGCTAAAGATCCTGAGAAGTGCTGCAAAGGCTATTCCATCAAAACTGGCAAACGTCCCCTTCAAGCATTGGCTTGTGTGACTTCTCAGTAGTGACTTGCCAAACTGCTCTCGAGCCTGGCAGAAAGAGTGATCTAGTGGCACGCGTACTGTGAGATAACGAGGGGTGAGTGAGGAACAGGGAAGAATAAGGGAAGAAGGCGATACAGCTTTTGTGGAGCAAGGTCGGCATTTGACTGTAAATAGGGGCATAGACGCTGTTTGTTTGGTGTGCCCGACCTGAAGCTATGGAGCTGAAGATACATTTTCCCTGCTTGTGCTAGGCTGTGTGGACCTTGAACTGACTATTATTTTTGACCCAGATGTAGGTCTTCTCTGGTAAATACTGCAGTCTAGAGGTTGTGTGTTCCTCATGTTTTTAAATGTTCTTGCCAGTGCTGGAGGGTTGGAGATTGTACAGGATTCTGATTTAATAAAGAGAAAACTTTAACATTCATACTGCTGAACTTTTTTTCGTTTTTGTTACGTTTTCGTTTTTTGTTTCATTTTGTTACGTTCACACACTGTTTTGTAGTACTGATAAAGTAGAGTGCTAGAAGTAATAGGTGATATTCTGAGGCTGTACTACAAGAGTAGGTTGTAGTGCAGAGGTTTGGTAATTTCCTCATTTTCAAAGGCTTAGCAATCATCACACTCAACTAGGTTGAGAGGCAACACTTGTGGACTTCTAATTGTTCATTGAGAAAGAGTTCATTCTTCTGATCTTTGTATCTTCATTTGATTTGCTTTTGATGTTGAAGAATTCTTATCTTTGTCTTGTATTGCAAACCCTTTTTCTCCTTACACTATGCCTAACTCCTTAGCAGTGCTTTGTCTGTGTTAGCGTGCACTTGCTGCATGTTACTTACCCATACATTTGCAAAATTTTTGTTTCCTGTCTGTCCTGCACAGATAAAATTTCTTTTCCTTTTCTCCCAGAAATGTTGATGCTATCTTTGATATAGTGAGAAATTGGAATGAGAATTTGAGGGATTACAGGTGTCCTTTGCAAAGAAGAAGCCTGGAAGATGTTTATGTAGCTTTTGGTAAACAGTTGTAGAATCTCACCAGCATTCTCTGCCCTCAGTTCGAACCATGGTGGTTTCAGCCTGGGTTGGGTTGGTTTGTTTGTTTTTTCCCCAGACAATTCAGAGGTTCCTGACACCATTCTAGTTTCTCAAACTTTCTCCCTTCTGTATTTATAAAACTTTCTCAGCTTCCCTTTCTCTCCCTTGCATGCATGCATGCATGTTCTGCCACTGTCTGAAAAGCTTATAGGGTCTTGGGAGGGTGGTGAGATTGAGAATTGTTTGTACTCACTGGAGGAAAGAGGGGATGGGAGAGTGAATGTAATCCCCAGTTCACACCTGACTGATACGTGGGGAGGCTAAAACCATGGTTCTGTAACGTAAGAATCAGAAGCAACCCTTTCATCTCAGGTAGGTGTCAGCTAACTAATTACTGTAGAAACAGATAGAGTGTAGAGCAGCAGTTCTGAGATGGGAGTTATGATTGGGTAGTAATTAGGAGCCGGGAGCAATAGATCTTGAACTGTTGCAAAGTGTGCCTGCCTGTCTGTAGTCTTGAGCTGTTCTTGCAAGTTTAAAACATACTGCCTGAACTTGTACCTAGGTAAGTGCAGAAAATTCTAATATCTGTGAGGACAATCTTTTTCCCTTTCTTCTAAACCTGTTTGAGAGACAGTCAACTATCATGCAGAAGGAGCTGAGGCAATTTAAGACTTTTTTTTTTCCCCCCTCACCTTAAGGCAACCCCAAGTAGTTCTCATCATCATAACTAAAATGTAGATGATACAGTAGGATTAGCTGAATTTTTTTTCTTCTGGAGCATGAAGAAGATTCCTGTGACACTCTGTATCCCAAAACTTGCGGGCAGGGTAGCTTGCTTAGCGTTAGCAGTGGTGTTTTCAGCAGTACGAGCAAGTAGCAAAGTAGCATCATCTTACTTCCCCACCTTTTGTTTTGGTATGAATTGGAACTTCAATTTCTCTCAAAACCAGCCTCAATTTAGTAAAGTTCTGACTGTGGCCCTTGGGATATGATTTTTTTTCTTTTTTTTTTTTGATCTTCTAGCTTAGGTAATCTTAGCCTATACATTCGGAGAAGAACTGTCAAAAAAGAGAATTACCTTGAGCACACTTTTCCCATTTGAGTGGAGACCAGCAGAGGGAACTTCATGTAAACGTCTCAGAGGCATTTGTATACAGTAACAGTGAAGTTGCTATATGAACTTGAACAGAACAAACCACTAATGTAACATTTCTTGGAAAAAAACCCAAAGACTTCAAGCGTAGTATGGAAGTCTAAGATCTTATTCCCTTTCAAAAAACAAACTGACCTCTTAAAATTGTGTGATTAAATCAGTGTGATATAATCGTTTTCCTTTATTTAAAAAAATGAATGGAAATGATTGTTGCAATTTTTCTGCTATTAAAAATGAAACTGTCTTTTTGAAATACAGGTTATAAATCGTTCAACAACAGAGCTACCTCTTACAGTGTCATATGACAAAATATCTCTTGGAAAACTCCGATTTTGGATCCACATGCAGGATGCTGTGTACTCCCTCCAACAATTTGGTATGTTTTTTATCTTTAATGACTTTAGGCCAAAAAAAACCAACCAACCTCTCAGTTTTTTTCTTCTAAGTATATAGATGACACTTAACTCTCTCTTTTTTCCGGTTAGCTCATGAAAAGGTTTAACGCTACAAATCTTACATTGTTTTACCTTAAACGTAAAGATGGAAATAAAATGTTGATGTGTGGTAGGAAAAAAGAATACAGAGGTGAATTAACTGTTTTTAAAATAAATTTTGTTTGGATAGTACTGCTGTAAAAGCATAGGAGACCAAAATAGAGGAGAGGATTTTTGCCACGGGTTTCCCCTATCATCCATGAAACAGGAAAGCTGGATCAGTGTTACATAAGCTCTAATATAAGCTATATACAGCTGGTCACTGTAGCCGTATACCTACAGTGAAATACAGGCAGGCATAGCAAAGTCTTTGGGCTCAACCTTAGCACGAAGAGAGAGTCTGGGTTCTGATCATACTACTTCTGGCACTTCAGAACTGGCTGACCTCTCACTTTGGCTCAGTTACAGATTTATAAGGTAATTCAGATAAACTGGAGGCTTTAAATGCGTGAAACTATTAAATTCTCTGTTTAGCTTAAATGTAGTGGAGCAAGTGTATGCTTCCACTCTGAAGTTCATATGCTGTGTGTTGGTGATGGTATAGCCAAGCTTTTACTGTCTTTAGATGTCTGTTCCACTGATGCACACCTTTGTGAGTTTAATCATCACTCTTAACCCTGAAAATAAGATGTGCATTTTTATCTTTGCTGACTTAGTTTTCTCCCACTAGGCTGTAGTTGGCTTGGTGTTTATATATATGAGTATAGGATACTTTCTGATCCTCTCTTTTTAAGCTCTACAGACAGCAATTTGAACTTTTTTTCAGGCCAAGAGATCTTAAAAGATTCTGTGCTGTATTATTTTAATGATTCTTGAATCTTCCCCAGTTTATCTTTTTTTTTTAATACAGGTAGACACAGTATTGTATTAGTTTCCCAAGAGACGTATGCAGGGGTAATGCTGCTTCCATACTACTCAGTGGTGTTCTTTGTTCACCAAAATTTAGTCAGTAAGAGGGAGAAGGCTTGGTTATTCACTGTCATCTCTGAATTAATATTTTATGATGGACAACTTAACATTTAATGCTTTGATTCCTCTGGAAAAAGAAAAAAATAAATCTGTTCTAGTCCAGCAGTAGTTTCAGAGAGTAGTATTGTAAGACACAGTACCTGTGTACGGTATAACTTAACTGAGAGTCTAGACTTTCTCCATTTCTTTTGCAGCCTGAGTTTTTCTCATGTTTTGTTGGGAGAAGGAGGGCGAGTAAGGAATAAGGTCATCCTAAGTAGAATCCAGCTGCTTCTCCTTAGCTCAGGCTAATGTATATCAAAGCTGCAAGTATGTCTGCTTAATAGAACTGTCTTGAAAGAATGAAGTAGCTGCTTGCTCAGAGTTTGTGTGGAGTGTCTGACGACCATCATTTTTCCATAAGTTTTTGTGAGCCTCCTCAAAATGGCATAATTGATATTTTCATATTTCATGTCTTGGCTGTCTTGTGATGGACATGTATTTCAAGTACCTCCTCTGCCTAGAGAAAAAGCTTACCTAAGATGCTGCTTGTTCTCTGTAAGTGTGTAGATAGTGAAACATAAGGTTTAAAATTTTCCTTTTGGAATAACTTCTGAAAAGGTCACCTTAGATCGGTAGCAAAACTCCAAAATCACTTGAAAATGGGTAAGTTCACATTCTTCTTGCTGTGATGCAGGACAGCTGATACGGCAAAGTAAACTGGTACTGAACTTACTGGTGTCTTAACTAGCGCCATTGCCACAGATGCAGCATTGTGTCTTTTCTGAGAACGGTAGGCTTCAATCACAGTGGCTGGAACTTTCTACTTCATGCAGAAGGCATCTTAACACTGGCTGAAGGAGTTCAAAGGGATGGTATATCTTCTGGAAAACACTCCTTGATGCTGGCAAACATGTTTATCATGGACAGGCTCTAACTTTTTTTTAATTAATGGTTGTCCAGTATATAACAAGGTAGTAACATTCCTCCTTTATGAGATTTGATAAGACAGTAGAGAATGTGTCTTCAGCTTACAGATTGTGCTTCCTGGAAGGTGCTTTGCCTTTTTCCATTTATTAAAGAGAAGCTTCCAAGTTAATTCTACAGGGACTGTCAAAAGAGTTGATGCCTCATCCATGATCTGGAGTCTATACTGTTGCATGTATGGCCATGTTTCTCACTGACCTTTGTTGTCCTCTACAGTGTAGTCCTTTTCTCATTTTTCAGTTTTTAATGTGACACTTACTTTTCTTATGTATCAAATAAAAGTTCAGAGGCCGAGTTGAATAATCCTTGTTCTTCCCACTCAGACCAGAATGACTTCCTGTGTCTTGCCATTTATCTGTCAGGTGTTCAGCTTAAGTTGTAGTTACACAACATGTTGAAGGCACATCAGTCTGCTTGTAACTGATGGGTTTCGTTTAAGGCAAGCCAAATAACTTGCCAAAATATAGGTAGACTTGGGTTTTGCCAATAAAGCTGCCATTGTGTTTTGGATTTATGATTCCTAAACAAAACATGTGCAGGCGACATAAGATTCCTTTCATACTGGACTCTAACATAACAGCAAGTAACTGTCTGGTACTTCTTGCATAATTACTTTTTCTTTCTCTTAGGGTTTTCAGAAAAGGATGCAGATGAAGTAAAAGGAATTTTTGTTGATACTAACCTGTACTTTCTGGCTTTGACGTTCTTCGTGGCAGCATTTCATGTAAGTGGAGAAACTTTGGGTTTTAGGAGTTACGGCATATGAAATAAAAAAAAAAGGGAGGGGAGGCTGAATTTCAACTCTTTCATTTATTAAGGACTATTCTTGGAAATAGTGAATTCAGTAGAGCAATGGACGTGTTTTCTGGTACGAGTCAGCTGTATTTCCAATACAGAGTTGATATAAAAATATCAAATAAGAAAGAAATTTGAGACTACATAGAAACTAACAGTCTTGACTGAAATATAAAACCCTTAGCTTCATTATCACTTTTTTTTCAGTTGTGGTTGAACCAAAGCTCCTAGAATTAATATGCCTGTTGACATTGGTTCAAATTTTGTTGAGCTGTCACAAGATTTACTGCTGCAGCGGCATAGCTGGGGCACCAGTAGTAGGGTTTGAGTCTCTGACTTCTAATCCCTGGAGAAATTTAGGTCAGCTGATCTAAATTGCTTCCAAAAATTGTTACTGTAAAGTGCAGAGCTTAGGGTCCTAGTCATGGTTATTTGTTGTTGTGTCTCTCTCTTAGCATTGTGTGTCTTGATTTAAATATGAATCTTTGTTTTAATGAACAGCTTTTTTAGACTTTGTTGTTCTACTGTGAACATTTTTGTCATCTACAATTACACCCAATAAAATTCCCATATTCTGGGAGAGATGAGAACTTGCTGGGCGTGTTATATTTCTTTATGTACGTTACAAACAATTAATTTGATTGGAAAGTGTTAGACTTCCCAGGCATATTAATTTATTTTTTCCATTCTCTTTTATCAGGTTGTAGGGTATCTGTAGGCTGGGACTAGCTCTTCTGATGCTTTTTTCTTTTGTGCATCATTTGCCTAAGTTAAAAAATATATACTTTTTCATTAAAATTCTCTGACCCAAGAATTTCTGGAATCTGTGCTGCTTTTTTTAAGACAGTGAATGCATAAAGGAAATACTGAAAAATATACTGAATGAAAATACTGAAAAAAATACTCACTACAAATTAAATGCTAAAATGTCCCTGAAGTTTAGGTCAACTTCTTAGTGATGAAATAGAGAGGAAGCCTGACTCTATTGTAGGATTTCTTTTAAAAAGCTTTGGTACTGTCCAAGCCTAAATTGACTATCAATCCAATACAAAGCACTTTGAATCTAATTTAGCATGGCTTTTCGCTGGTCTATCAAGGAGATGAGCAATTCCTCTGAGTCCTCATTCTTTGTCCTCTACCATGTGTTACCCTGTATTGGGTCACTGACTTTCTTTACAGGACACTGCGTTGTGCAGCATTGTAGAAGTAGCAGATTTGGAATTCATCCTGTCATTTTCCAGTGCTTTTAGAGCTTGGGCTTCTGAAACAGTTTTTCTTTTTAACTTTTATTTATGATACTTAATTTTTATTTCTGAAGCTTCTAAAGCAGGTTTTTCTTGAAGTCCATCTTAAATGCATTTTTAACAGTTCAGCTGGCAGTCTCTAATTAGTGCACATTTCAAGCAAATGAGTATGTTTCTTGCTATTTGCAGCTTCTCTTTGATTTCCTTGCATTCAAAAATGACATCAGTTTTTGGAAGAAAAAGAGGAGCATGATTGGGATGTCTACAAAAGCAGGTATGGGCCAGAATATGAATTGTTGTGCATGTGCTCTGTAGTATATACTGTGTGTTTTCAGTCTTACTCTAAGTTGACACTTTGTAGATTCACCAAGATGGCAAAGTGGGATGTTTTTGTGTATGAAAACAAGACGGCTAACAGGCTGGTTCTAACTTTGTTAGCATTGTGCTCAAGTGTCGCTTGCTTTTAAGCACTTGCGTCAGTTCCAAGGTTTGACAGTGTTGCAATTGAGAATTAGTTTAATTTAAGTCAGTTTATCATGTTTCCCTTGCTGAAGGAACAGAAAAATACTTTGAGAAAAGAACGAGGACCAGAAAAAATTACATGGGTGGAGAGAATGTGCTATCATGGGTAATGCTGACCTGTGAGTCCCATGTGTTCCTTGTAGATAACTACAGGTTCCAAAATGTTTGGAGGGGGAAAACGGTGTAGTATAATACTGTTGTTTGATTTGGGCTTTGCTGTAAACAGGAGAGTAGAAGCTCCTGCAGTGGGGAGGATGGGGAAGAGCATGGGAGGGTTGAGTTAACTTGGATGTAGGAAGGGTGAGAGAAACCTAGTGGTCTGACATCCTGCCAAGCCTTCCTAGAGACAGATGAAGGTAGCAGCCAGCCCTGGCCGCTTGAGGTTTAACACACGACTCCCCAGCCTTGTTTATTGTGCTAATACTTACTGCTTATTTTTCTAATAGATTTTTCCATTCTGATTGTAAACCAAAATGATAAACCTGGAGTTCTTTTGACCTCTGAGACTATCCCTAATTCAGTCATATTTACAGACAGATTAACATGTGCAGAATATCAATACCAGGAAAAAAAATTAGGCATTCTAAATTACGATGAACAGCAACATGTTTTTCTCATGTGGAGAATCTGTTTATCGTCTTTATCAGAGTGCCTTTGTTTTTGTAAGGCATTTGTACTGCTGTTGGCATATGTATGCCAAAAAGTTAATAAAAATTCAAAATGGTCCATGGGCTTTCAGAATTAAGTGTTAATTGCCAGTTTAAAAAGTGAGTAAAGTCAAATTGGAAAGACTGAGGTGAAAAAGGGTTATTAACTTTACTATCAAAGTCTTAGTCTTCAGTCTCCAGTAATTGATAGTTCCATCCTCTCTTTAGCAAGCCTTGGTCACCTTTCTGCCTGTATCTCCTCCTGGCTCTGAGGAAGAAGTGTGACAGGCAATTGCTTTGGGATGGTACAGTGTAGTTGTGGATGTCTGAGTGTGTTCTAGCTCTTCTCTCTTTCGGTCCCTATTTAGAGGGGTGGATATTTGAATCTAAGAATTAGTTGGCTTTGCAAAATCAGAAAAATAACCCTAAAATGTACTTCTTAATATTTACAAACATTAAATTAGTTGCATGAGTTTCAGAGACTGACGTTACATTATCTCACAGCCTTTCAGCTTCGTCCAGACAAGAATCACAAACATAGTTCATAATAGTACTGATACATTGCTGAATTGCTGCAGTACAGGAGTCTTCCTTAAATATTCCAATTTCCTTTCATCTTTTGTGATAAGGATTTCATAAAAGGTCTTTGTTCTGTATTTGCCTGGAGGTATATAGACCACTGGCTGTTTCTAGGACAGCTTGATAAATCAAGATGTATATAGGAAAAGTTCGTGCTTAAATTGCATAAGAATTATAGTAAATAGGCCAACGGTCTTCTGTCATCTCAGCTGTTCATTTAAATATTAATAAGCCTTTGGTTTTCATTTTTTTTCTATGTAGTGCTTTGGCGGTGCTTTAGTACTGTGGTAATATTTCTTTTCCTTTTGGATGAACAAACAAGTTTATTGGTCCTGATCCCAGCAGGTATTGGTGCAGTGATTGAGGTGAGTTCTTAAAGCTCTAGAACCAAATACCAATATTCGCAGCAACATCCATAGTTTATTGTAAAAAAAAAAAAAACGCTAAACTAGTTACTGGAAAAATACTGCTGTAGAATGCTGTCTTAGCAGCATTGTTTAACTGGCTTTCAGTGATCAAGGAGATTGTGGCCCTTTATCAAATAACGAGACTGGGAGTATCAGTTTTTTTCTGGGATGGACCAGCTGGTATTGTAGAAATCAAACATAGAGCTTTGCTGAGGTTCCTCCCTGTCACATCATCTGATAGGTATCGCTCCTGACCAGGCATGTATAACCATATCAACAAGCCTTCACAGAAACATTTGTCAAAGAGCAGGCTGTGTGCCATCAGACAGTGCCGCAGGTCTTCAGCTTTCTCCCTGGCCGTGACTGAGGTGCTTGGGGAAGGAGGAAAAGGAGGAGACTGCTGTCTGTGTTCTTTATTCCAGAAGACCGTGTCCAGTCAGTGGGTTGCAGGTACTGCTTAGAAGCCTGCTTTACATGTAGTAAAGCACAAAGTCAGCAGGAGTGGGAAGAGGAGATCTCTACCTAGCATTGCTTTCAGATCTATTTACTTCCAAGTATTTAAAAAAATAGTTCAGGATTCTCATGTGGAATTTTTGATTATGCATCTGTTACAGTTGCAGATAATCCCTGTGGAAAAAAAACAGTTCAGAATTTTTAGTTAGTGATTAAATTGTTCAATGCGAAGTCACAAAACAATCCTTAAATTTCAGTTTATTGTATAAAACAGGTGAAGCTGTCGTGAAAACTATGAGCAGTGATGTCCTAAATAGTACCATTTCATTAACTGCAACATTATTTTTCAGTAAGTTGAGATTTTTAAGTCTGATGTATTTCTGTCTGTTAAGTTTTCTGTATCAGATTTTCTGGTGGTTTTATTCCTATAAATAGCAATTTAGTCTCATATTTCAAACATTTTTAGCTGTCTGAAATTTTAACTAAGTTTCAGGAATAAATATATATCCCTATAAATAAGCTACTTCTTTTGTAGAATATCTTTTATTTTGATCCTTGCAATCTCAAGAAATCTAAAGACTTCAGAAATTCAGAAGTGTCAAATGATTTAAAAGTGAATCGGGTCAAGAAAAGTGATGCTTTTGTTTGTTTGTAGTGGGGAAGAAGAAATAGCCCTGGTCTCTAAATCACTTTTTTTTTTCAGAAGTTTTAGTGGAAACCAGATTAGGCACATATGGTGGTAGGGTAATAGGAATTACCAGCTGTGCTACAGGATTTAAGTGCAATTAAAACTGTTGAGATATTGCATTTCTCTTTTATAATGAAGATGGATTTTTCCAGAACAGGCAGATTCAGATCTCATTTGGTCATTTTGCCTGTCTGATATTCTTCTTGGAGCTGCCCAAAGATCTATTAAATAGATCTCTCTGAGATCTGTAGTTCCTAGGACTCCTGGGCTCCTAGTGTCTTTCTCATGCGTCTTATTTTCCAGTATGCTGCTTTTGGATTGCAGGCTGGGGGAACTGGGTTGAAAGGTTTATATAGGAACACTTAAATTGAGGGGAAATGTTCTGTAAGTTCTGTTGAAGTAACCTATCTCTCCTCTCAAGTGATGGTGAGATGACATGGTTGTCTCAAGGTGAGAATGAACGTACGGACTATACATGTCAAAGGAATTTGCCTGCTGGGAAGAGGTTTTTCACAGCCTGTTACTAACACATGTTCCTCATGCAGTACTAATAGTGACACTGCTTCTGTAATAAGTAATTTTCTCACTTGCATCAAAGATGACAGTAAAGGATCATCTTTACTGTATTGTCCTTTTTTATTTGGAAGATATGATGGGTGAGAAGAGAATATTGGTGTATTTAAAGTTAAACAAACAAACCTTGTCCAGAAAAAGCTTCGTGGAGCATAGCTCTCCTGGTGAGCTTACTGCATTCCCTGAGTTGTTGAATCTGTATAACAGGGTGGGTACACGAGTCAATTTTGAGGTGAACTGAACCTTTGGATACGGTAGGGTCAGGCTGTTACAGCTGTACAGTAAGTAGCCAGACAATTCAGTGGATTCATTGACTTTTGCTTGTAGCCCACTACTGGAATTTAATGACCATGTAAGTGCCCACTTAATCACTGTTAGGAGTTCTGAGGCACCTTCATCTTGCACACCCCAGCAGACCTCAAAGGCACGTAGAAACTCGCTTGGCAGGTGGTTACTGGAGAATTCTCTAAATGCCTGACCTGGGGTGCATGCTGGTGCAGAGAGCAGCTAACCGCCACCTGAGCGCTGCAATCCAGATGTCCTGGAAGGACTACATTATTTCACTTTAAGTACATCATCTGATATGGAGACTTAATAATGCAGGTTCCCAATGTGGTGCTTGTCTGATGACACGGCATTTGGTTTGTATAGAGATGCAGGCAGTGTGCTGCAATCAGACTGTTGCTGCTTTATGCAATGGGTGCTTAAAATAGATATTCTGGTGTTTTGATTCTGATTATCTGAATCCTGCCTAAGACATTCCTCTGGATAATCTCTTATGTGCACATTTTGGTTTTGCTAATCACAGCTCTGGAAAGTGAAGAAAGCTTTGAAAATGACAATCAAGTGGCAAGGCTTGAGACCCAAAATTCAGGTATAGTAGACATTGACCTGTTAACAATTACACTCTTGAGTTGTCCATCTGCTTCCAGGTTACTGTGCAACTTGGCTTTTAGTGAAATGAAGATTAAAAAAAAACTATGAAAGTTTCCTGTGTACACCTTCTCTTTATGGATGGCTTAATCCAAAAGCTGGACAAGGATTTTCAAACTTCGATACTTTGAGTTCTGTAGAAGAAGCAGCTATTTGTATGTATTTATGGTGTAAGAAACTTCAGAACTCCTCTGTCAGTCTTGCTAAATCTTAACAGGTGGGACTGTGCTCCTGCCACTGTGTTAGAAAGGCAGTCTTAACTCACATCGTGATTTGAAGTAAAAATCTGATTTTTTTCATGAAGCTGTAGATATAACTTCTCCATAGGAGAAGTTCTGGGGACAGGACAGTCTTTGACAAATCCTCTGGGTAAAAGTTAAGTCCTGAGATTGTTTGCAGGACATGCAGTGGCAGCAGGGATTCAAATTAACTTTTTTTTTTTATGTGAGTGTAACCTTTTTAAAGTACAATCTACATTGAAAGTTTCTCTTGTTGGTTGGAGAAACAGTTGTCTAATCTTCAGTGTTTACTTCACAAGAAGTACAGGGCTCTTGAGCTGCTTGAAACCTATGCATCTTGAGTGGCTGATAGCTCTGGTTGTTCCTTTGTCGGTATTCAAGCAACTGTGTTTAAGCAGTTACAATATCTGGACATGTGGAGATAATCTGTAACTGAACTCTTTATGCATGAAAATGGTTATGGTTTTTAATAATGGCTTCCTCTGTCTGCCAGATTCTTAGCCACTTGACTTTGCTTTTGCTTTGTGAACTCTGCTGCCTCGACAGCATTTTCCTAAGCAAAGAAGTCCTGGATCTTTGGTGAAAAAAGTTAAGAGAAAAACTTTTTACCTCCCCTGTATTTAGCAGGCTGCGCAGGACATTTGTATGACTGTCTTGTATAGAGGCTTATAAGAACTTTGAATTGTTACCTAGCTTGATGTCTAAGCAGTTTAGTTTGCAGCTTAAATCTCTGTTTAGGGAGTTGGACAGCAAGTGCTTTTTCCCCCTAATTCTGACTTCGTTATACTTTTTATGTGTATTGCAGTTTGGTACATACAATGACTCTGAAAAGAAAACTGAGGAGTATGATACCCAGGTAGGAGGGAATCCTGTGATTTCTGATGCATAAAGTCTATATATGCAGCCTGCTGATTGACCTGTTTCACTGTTTTTATTGCTACAAGTGTATTTTTCACCTTCTCATGGTTGTCAAGTGGATCATCATCATGTGTATGATCAGATAGTGAAGATTCATTCTGAGAATTTATGAAAAGAAACAGTGAAAGGGTTGTTCTGTTAGCTGAATCTGGTTGAAACATTTATCTGAGAAGCAGAATTGCAGGTGACTTATCTGAAGAGGAATGTCTTAAAGGGTTACCATTCATAAATTTGAAAATTGATATTTGTACTTGTTATTTATACTGGAGGAAATGTTCACATGCTTCCTGATTTCTGAAAGGAGTTGAACATAGTTGGCAACATTGGTGTTAAGCAGAGAGCTGCTCTTAGACTCTGATCTTGGTGCCACCTCTAGTGCCTATGCGCTAAGGTGCTTGATTGTCTGAACTGGGCAATGGCATTTTCACCACCTTCTCTAGAACTGGAAGTATACTGGAAATAATAGCAGACATTTGGGAACAGGAAAAGACTTTCAGGAAAAAAATTATGTGGCTGTCTTCCAGTTAATGCCATGAAAAGTCTGCTGTATGAAAAATGTGAACTAACAAACTTTTTTCTTTGTCTATTAGGCTATGAAGTACTTATCATATTTGCTCTATCCACTGTGTATTGGAGGTGCAGGTTACTCCTTGCTGAACGTGAAATACAAAAGGTACTGTAAATCTATAAATGGTCTTATACAGAATTGAAACATTCCCCATTTTTTCTGTATTAATTGGAGATGATGGGTTATAGAAATCAGTTATTTTAGTTTGTTTGAATCATAAGCCAGGAACTGGAAACTTCCTCATTCTACAGGAAGAGTCTAGCTGTTTTTTTAACATCCTGTAACCTATAGGCTGTTGTCTTTCACAAGTCACCTGATATTGCTGTAGTATAGAATTAAATAGCTTGCATACATGAGTTAGCTGTCAATCAGAAGAGGAGGAAGAAAGCCATTGATGTTCAGAGAACTGATAAGGTGAGAGGAGAGATGAGAGGAATTTGGTGGTTGAACCTGTCCAATAACAGAGAAGCAAAAACTGTCCCAAAATTAGTTGCTCTGACCGAGAGGTTCCTCTGTTCCTAAATATGATAGCTAGGATGGCAAGCAAGCAAAAGCATTTTGAAGAAAAAACGACTGTATTCCTTTAGAGCTGCGGACTTACTGCAGCATATTGATAACTTCAGCAAGAGCTGAAGACTTAGTATTTCATGAAAAGGTGAAACTCTTGTCCACTTTTACTGAAAATAATACAGCTAGTTCATTTTATATTGGAGAGATGCAAATAAGTATGCAGCCATGAGACTTTGTTGTAGAAAAAATCTACAAGTGTAAGCATGGTGACTGCCACATAGACTTTTTTTTTAAATAGTCTTTAGGCACAGAAGGGATGGGAGGGAGAGCAAGCAGTAGCTTAAATAACATCAGAAAGAATTGCTGTTGCTGCACACATGAGCCATAGCACTCGTACTGGAAACTGGGGCAATTTCTGGGCTATTAGAAAAATAGTTTTTTCAAGAGGTTCTTGTCTTAGTAAGGAGCTAACAAATATGCAGCGTTTAAAAATTCTGCTTTTCTCACGAAATTCTAGAATTCATTCAGTACTGCAGAATACTATATGCCAGGTGTTCTATGAGCTGTAACTCAAGAAAGTGAAAACAATTCATATCATAGAATTTTTATCATTGTTAAATCTGTTTGCAAGGAAATGTGACAGAACAAGTAATCTTAACAGTGGATTATCCTTTAATCTTGCAGGCATTTTCTGATGCATTTTTTAGATGCTTGTGGATTAGTGAAGTGCTGCTACAGCTGTAATGCTGCTATTAACATCTCGCTAACACAGCAGTACAAGTTTAATTTTAAATGATGTAACCTGAGCATCACGGTGATCATCTGTTCTTACTATCGCAAGCAGAAGATTGGAATCTGACCACTGTCTGTAGCACTACTGTTACTTTGCTAAGATTGTGCTCCATTACACATCTGGGAAGGGTTGTTAGATGTAAGGAGGGAAAAATACAGATTCCTTGTATTTACTTTTTTAAGTGCCTGCTATAGTGGTTTGCACTGAATGGTATTTGTTGTTTGAAATTTGGTAAGTCCTTACAGTGCCATATTAAATGTCTCTGTAGTATTTAGAATACAGTGTTGTCTTTGCAAACCTTAATACAGTCATTGTTCAGTGTGCAGTATTATGTGATGTCACTTTGGGTGCAGAAGTCTTAGAATGTTCTGAAAAAGTATAAAAGCAGTTGATAAAGTTCTCCAAACTTCTTGTATGGACTGATAAACGTCCTTTGCTTAAAATACCTTCTCTGAAGCCCTTCCTAACCAAAGGAAGATGGAAGGCATTGAGTTCTTGCATCAGGTAATTTCAACATAACCATTTCTTGGACGAGCCAGCATACAGTCATGTAGAGGATGTATTACAGGTATATATTTTTGGCTGAGGTAAAAAAATAACGGGACTGTCTTCTTTCTTTGTAGCTGGTACTCCTGGTTGATTAACAGTTTTGTCAATGGTAAGTCCCTTACAGTTTTTTTCCTATTCATATTTCTTCAAATGGAGACCAAGACTCAAAAGTAGAAAATTAACTGCTATCAGCTGGATCAGTGTAATATAGAGCAATAACTTGACTGTAGGTTCCAAAAGTATCACAGTGATTGAGAAAGGGAGAAGATTCAACCCAAAGTGAACAAAAGGATTAGATGCATCTTCTCTCTTTAGGAAAATGAGTGTAAATCTCTTAATTGTGAAAGCATAGTTGTGTAATGTACTTCTGTTGTGCATTTGTCTAAGTTTTCCATATTTTATCTGCAGGAGTGTATGCTTTTGGATTCCTGTTTATGCTGCCCCAGCTGTTTGTAAACTACAAGGTACGATTGAAAAGTGATAAAATACTACTTTTCTAGTGTCTTCTTCCAGACTTTATTACAGATCGGTATTTTTATTCCTAGATGAAATCTGTTGCACACCTACCATGGAAGGCTTTCACATATAAAGTAAGTAAAGCTCTAATTTAAAGATTGATGCGGTCATTTTGGAAATCATACTAAGAAATAGCTTAGTAATATGTAGCTTAAGGCTGACAGTGCTTTTTTTGTTTAAGAACTAAACTTGTTTGCAACTGTCCTTTAAAGAAAAAAAAAGAAGAAACATTGATTTCTGTTTTTCATAATGATTTCCATATAATGACAATACTTGTATCTTGGTTTTGATGATAATACTGCGTTTTGTACTGTCAGCTGTCTTGCATGGGTGCAAATGTTGGTCCTGCAAATAAATTAATCAGTCTCAATTTAATGCATTATTTTAGAAAGAGAGAGATTATGTTAACAAAGGATAGTTTTCAAGAAACAGATAGGACTACTAAGAGACCTTATTTTGGCAGGTTCCAGGAGCTACCAGAGACTGAAGTAATGCACACGCTGTTCTGTGCTGGGGTGGTAATCTGAGCTTCTGGGCAGTGTAGTGACAAATGTGTGGTGGGTTGTTACATGGTGGAAGAGGGGCTGCTCTGTGGTGTCCCCACTGCCTGGAGTGCCCTTGTAGGAAATAATGCAATGCTGTAGCAAAGCTTAACCCCAGACCTTGGGGAAGGGGAAGGTGAGTTTATTTCAAAACAAAATCAACTTACTAACCCTTTGATAACAGCCTACCCACAAGCACCCACTTGTGTGTCCAAGTATTCAGGCACCAGGATGGATGTACCTAAGTATCCCAGTCAGGATTCCTTGCGCTGTTATGGAGGACAAGGGACACTCGCTGTTGAGTTGCTATGCCTCCTGCGTTCTTCCTCAGTTGGCAACTATGTGCTAGTTTTGTTTTTGTACCCCTAAAGAGCTGATACTGCTTTGACTCCATCCTTTCCCATCTGTCTAAGTCATTAGCGTTTTTGTGCTGTCCTTTGTCTTCCTGATCATTGTGTCTTGAGAAACCCTGGCTGGATGTGCTGGGATCATCAAGAACTTAATGCCATCAACATGTGCTCTTTCTTCTTCTGCTTCTACTCATAAATGCTTTCATTTGTTCTTCCTTTGTGCCAGTGTATTACAATACTTTAAAAGAAATAGTGTTAAAAACTGCTGAAGACATGGTGTCCAATTCTGAACAGATGATCTGGGAGAAAGAACTAAAATCTTCAAATTTGAAGTGCCTTTCATAGCTTTTCCATTTCTGTGAGCCTACAGCAATAGAACAACTTTCTGCTGCCTTAATATTTTTAAGAAGTCGGAGCATCTGGGCAAACAGATTGAAATAGAATAGCAACTAATGTTCGATATGGAAATATAGTCAAAAATAAAAATAAACATCTAGTGTTTCAGACACATACTAGGCAAATCAGCTCGTTTCTTAATAGAGGGGAGTCAAATGTATAATAGTGAAGTAATTTCACAGTTTTTCTTCAGCAGCAAAATACAATAACTGAGCAGAAATATCAGCAGCTTAAATAGACGACAAAGGGAGAGTGTTCAAGCAAGTAACCTTTAAAGCAGTAGAATTCTCTTGCTGAATAGCCTTTTCTTACAGAGCACTTATGGTTCCTGTTAAGATGCCAGAGGCTACCCACAACAAAGGCTTGTGTGTATGTAGAAAGAAGTATATGATGTTTTCAATTATGTTTAACTTACTGGGCTTTGGAGGGAGTAATGTAATTTTTCCTAGTGGGTATTTAAAAGTTGCTTGCTCTTTTCTGCACTTTGAAGAATGGAAAAAATAGTCTGAGGTCTCATCTGCAATTGTTGTTTTAGAGAGCTTTGTTTTTTTTCCTTAATTTGAACTCTTTCCTATTTTGGAAGACCTTGGCAAAAATGAAGATTATTCTAACTTCCCGGTTATTGTAGTCTTTAAGTTTACGCCCTTTATGTTTCGATGAGGAGTACCTTCAAATGAGGTACTCTGAAAAGAAAACTAGCTAGACTAAATACTATTAGATGGGCTGCCTTGATGATTTCAGTTTCAGTAGCTTATGAGGTCTGCCCAAGTGCCTGAAGGATGGAGCATTTAGCTTTTTCTTCCTTTCATTACTGTAGGATCACTCACTTGGGTGTTGACTTGGAAAGGACGCCTTTTCCAACTTGCCAAGGTGGTTTTTTTTTTGTTGTTGTTCCATGACAAACCTTCTTTGCACAGGCTTGAGAAATGCCGTCCACATTCTTTGATCACTTCGGATTGATGGATTTGTTTTGACTTGCCAGAAAGAGCTTTCCTGTTGTAACTATAATCAGAACTCTCTCCTGTCCAACACCCTGATCTTCTGCTGATGCTTTGTTTCATCATATAAACATTGGTTCATTTTGAAGAGTGAGTCTTTCTGTGCTTAGAGAATACATCATTTTCCCCCTTCTTATGGTATGGATTAATGTACAGCTTGCTAATATTGAAAGGAGAACCCATGTTACTGACTCTGTTGAGCCAACAGTGAATATTCTTTGCTTGTTTCCTGCTGGTTTTAGTGAGTTGAAGCAGTTTATTGCACCATAGGAGTACTAGAGCTGTTACACTGTGAGAGTTGATTTCTAGTCCTCCTTGTAGGCTCGAGACAGATCCAGAGGAGCTGCCCTTCTGTTTACTTTCTTTACCTTCTCTGACAAAATATTGTTGCCTCTGCATACTTGGAGCCTGTTTGCGTTGCTTTCCCAGCAGATGCCTGGGAATTTAAACTTTCTCACTCAGGAAAAAGTAGTGAGAAAATATTTCATTATTGCTTCAGAAACAGAACCTATGGTATGCCTAGTTGAGTGGAAATGGTGTGGAAAATCATGTCTCGAATAAGAGATGGATGATTACTTCCAGGAGAGCACTGAAAATACTTTACAGTCTCTCCAAAGGTGTCAAGTTAATGTTCTTAAGGCATCAAATTAACAAATTTTTACACAGATTTCAAATTTCCACATAAAATGAAAGTGAACTGACATTTTTGAAATCTTAAATCATTTGAGTAATGAATTAATTAAACTTTTTTTTCCAGTTTCTTTTAAAGCTTTCACTGAAGTTGAAACTATGTTTTTCCCCTCGCATGACAATACTCTCACATACCTGAAGTAGTCCTACTTCCTTTTTACTTGTAACTATAATAGCGTGGTCTGTAGTAGACAGTATGATCTTCATTAAAAGAAAGTACTTAAAGTTTTCATGAATTAGTTTTTCAGCATAACTCTGAAGTATTGTTATAAATACGGAAGTAGTCTGTGTTCCTACTGAAAAATATAGTTCTAGGAAACCTATTTCCTGTAGCTTTGTATGACAAATGACTTCCTTTCTTCACAGCCAACTGAAGTATACTTTTCTTTTATTTGTAGGCTTTCAACACCTTTATTGATGATATATTTGCTTTTATCATCACTATGCCAACATCTCATAGGCTGGCTTGCTTTAGAGATGATGTCGTGTTCCTGGTCTATCTTTACCAAAGATGGTATGCCTTTCTTTAATATTCAGCAGAGTTTTTACAACGCTGTAGATGGTTGCAGTCTTATTGCTATAAAGAATTATAAAATAGTTTGGGATAGACTTCAAGCAGAACTTTTAAACTATAGTAATACATATTATGGTCTGGGTAATGGTAGTTGTGTATACGTCTAGTGAAGGGAATGGTGAGCAGGGGATCGTGAAAAGGAGATCCCAGTACAAATATGAGGAGCAAAGTGCGTTCCCATAATTGACAGTATTTTTAGACCCTTTTTAGTATGCTAAGACAGTAGTCAAGAAATTCCTCTTCTCACAGCACTCACAGAATTTTTGTCAGTTACCCCTTCTCCCTCCCCAGAAGAGCAGTCCTCCTTTTCAGCAGATAGTTTCATATTTGCAAATTACAAAAAAAATTAACCTGAGACATGAATACCTGAAGCAATTCTTATGCTTGTATTCACAAACCCACTAGGAGTTCTGGGCTTCTAACCCTTGCTGAGGGCTACATGTCTACATATGCTCAGTATCTGAGGCATGCTTTCCAAGTTGCTCTGCAAGGCAGTAGCAAAGGATGTTTTCTGGTTGAGGGATTGCCCTGCTGTGCTTTCCTCTTTGTCTAGTTTCCAAACACAAGTTATCAGGTCCTCTTGTAAGTTGAGTATCTAGTGAGTTTCCAGTTCTTTAAGTAACTAAAATCAAATGAGGAAGAAGGCTATATGCAGTAACCATTGAAATATTGTTCATAAGTGAAGCTACAGAAAGTGTATTCTTGTTCCCAAGGATAAATATTTATATGTGGCGCAAACAAGAATTTTAAGCCAAGTTCACATCATACCAGAATATATGGATGTGTCCATCTAACTAATCATTAATACTAAATGTGGACTTCAGTTGTGGGTTTATATAATCGCACGTAAGTGTAGTAAAATAGATCCCCTTCCAAGCTATTTTTCTAGAAGTTAAGAGCTCAACAGCTTCTGGATAGGGGCTGGGCACTGGTTTCAAGTTTGAGAGGTATCCTGGATTGCTTCAGAAATACTCCAGCCTAGCTTTAGGGGAGCTAATACATCTCTTAATAGGCCCTGTTATGAGACAACTGGTTAAGTCTTCACGTGAAGAAGCTGATGTGTCTGTAGCTAATCTTTAAAATTGTTGTGGATTTTTGCCACAAATGGGAATAGAGAATATGATGAGAAAGAAATTCACTTTTAAAATTAAGTAGCACAAAACTTCTTAATTTCTTCAGGTAGCAGACAATATTGTAACTAATCATTTGTTTTTTCCTGGCAGGCTTTATCCTGTGGATAAGAGCAGAGTGAATGAGTATGGAGAATCTTACGAAGAAAAGCCAAAAAGAAAAGCTCATAGGGAATAACTAAGAACTGAAGAAGATTCTGACCCCTGGACTCTTACTGGCTTCATGTATTATCTGATCTTAAGGAAGGAAAAACTTATTTAATAAGAGTATTTTTAAAGCTTATGACAGAACTACATGGACAATACATCTTCTATATTGCCGAAATCTAGTTTTGATATCCTCCTATTTCAGGACCCTTTTTTGTCCTCACAAGGTCCACAGTCTGCCAGATGTCATTAAATAAACTTCCTGCATTTAAACTTCTCTTCAGTGAAAAACCTAAATGTCCTGACCATTGTAATTAATATCCAAATCTATGTTTTTAAGACAACTAAAACTGAAAGTGTGGTGCCCGTGCCACTAGGCTATGAAAAGTGAAAAAACAAGCCAGTATGTTACAGCAGAATCGAGCATTATTGCCAAACTGGAGACCGTCAAAAATAAAATGTATAATATTGGATTATATGCTAATTACAAATAATTTTCATTTAATAATGGAGAGAATGGAAATCCTAAAAATTGTGATTTAAGTTGTATGTGGGCATTTAAGTTCATAGCTTAAAAAAAATTTGTTGGAAATACAGGATGAGACATATGGGGTTGTTAAAATTCAAATTCTGCCACGTTCTTAGCCCACAACATTCCAGAGGATTTCAGTTGTCTTAAACCGAATGAAGATGTGCAAAAACTGTAACATTATTTCTTTCAATATGTATCCAAATTTTTATATAAATCCTTCTGCATTGTTGACAGACCTTCTGATTTCTTGGCATAGCAGGTATTCATATAATGCAAATCATTGTTATGTGCTAGGAAAGTCTCTTAACGCATCTTAAATTCTTCATCATATGGTACCCCAGTGACCTACTAGGCCAATTCTCTCATGTTTCAAAGGGAATAATTCCTTGGTCCTTCCCCTTTCCCTCCCTGCCCCGTTTTATTTATAAGATGAAACACACATCATTCAAGTGGAATGATTTGCTCAAATACAATACAAGTCCAACAAACTACCTGGATACAGAGAAAAAGAAGCCTGGCGAAGAACAGGTATCTTCCTTTCACACAATTTAAAATCCATATTCCGTGGCAACAGTTCATTAAGGGAGGTATTTTGATCTGTTGCTTTCAGATTAGTAAAAACAATCAGGTTGAATTATTATACCAAAATTCAAACTTCACAGCTATGTCTAGAGACCACAGTTCTAGATTTTTAAAAGCAAGTTTTTTAGTAAGTAAAATAGAGAGTGCATTCCTTTCATCAGCAAATAAAATGCAATTAAAAAAAATTCCAAAAGGCAGATTTCTAGTTTCCAATTCTAGTTTTGCTATATCAGTAAGTTTACAAATTAACCCTAATGATCTTAAGTTTGTTTATTAAATTGCATGCTGTTTGTGCAAGGCTATTTAACTTCATTTTGACATGGATTGAAAATATTGATTGAGTAACCTTGAAGAACACATCTACTCCTATAGTCTGTAACTACTTTAGGAAGTGGATGTTATCCAGTTCTGATATTGCAGAATGTATAAATACTTGGGTCCCAAAAAGATACAGAAATGTGCCTAACTTTCTTTGTCACAGGCTATAGTCTTTCTTACACTGAAGTCCTCCTTACATGCTACTGGCAACAGAAAGGAGTCTTGAAGTGAATATTTAAGTTCTGTTCACGCTAAGGTCTCTTTACACTGTTAATTGTAACTAAGGAGGACTGTTGATTTTAGCATTAAACATACATAAACAAGTCTATGCAAAACTGGGGTTGCATTTGCTGTATCTTGTACCTGGTTTGGATTTGTTTGGAAGGAGCTCTTTGCTGTTAAGCAAACTAATTTGTGACTCCTATTTCGTCATAATAGTTAAATGTACGTGTGTGAAAATTTTTTGTAATACAGATAATGCATATAGCACATTCCCTTTTTGTGCCATTTCAAAACAATCGAGTCATTGATTCTTCTAGAGTAGCTCCTGAAAGTCCAGATTTTTCTGTGTAGCTGTTGAAAAATCACTCTTGCACCTTTACATACTGTGGGTTTATTGGTCTCCTGTCTTGCATTTCTGATGACAATGACCTCATAATATCCTATACAGTAGTCATAAAGAAGATAAAACTAGAACATTTTAAGTCTTTAAAATGAGCGAGACTTTCCTGTTCAAGTCATTGTTTTATGCATTCCATTTCCAAATAAAAAGACTTGGCATACGGGATAGAGAGTTACCTTTTGTTTTTGGAAAGAAAAGTGATGAAAAACTATGTAAGTAGTGTAACTTTGGAGATATTAAATGAAATGTTTTAACTTTCTAGTTGTGGAGACGATATCAGCTTAAAAAAAAAAAAGTGGTTCTGTATGTGGTTAATGCAGAAGAAAAACATCATACATAAAATGTCTGAATGTATTGCAGCTCATGCTCGATTATCAGTATCTGTGATCTATTTAAGAGTTCAGGAGTAACTCAAAAACTTCCACAGTTCTAATAGGATTAACTGTGGTAAGCAACAAGGTGACCATCTCATATTCTCATCTTCATTAGGCTTGTAATGGCTTTGGAAGTGAAAAGATTACAGTGATTTGGGCGTGGGGCTGGTTTAGAGTTAATTAGGAAAAATCATCATATGCTTCTGGAAGCTACTCTTGCACAGTACTTCTTGGTACATAGTAACGTAGGAGTCGTCATTCTCGAAGGAGGTAAGTGAAGGCAGGCGGTAGGCTTGGCTCTTTCTGTGGGTGTCCACGACCTGTGGCTCAGTGCCTCTTGGCTGTGCAATGGAGACCATGCTGTCCTCCTCCGCAGTTCTTCCAGTTCCATACCATGCAATTTCCTGCTCATCTTCACCTGCTGCTGCTGATTGTGTTCTCCAAGAGGTGACCTTCTGCCCTTACGGCTTTTTTCCTTGGAGCCATAGGGCTAACTGAATTACAAACTGGGCAGCAGCACAGACAGTTTTTCTCTTCCCAGCAGAGCTCAAGAAGTCTGTTCTGCTCTACTGTCGCTGCTAGAGGAGGTGCTGTATATGTTGGTGATCTGTAGATTCAGCACCAGTATATGTTCCCTTTTAATACGTTGCTACACTCCAGTAATTGTCAGCGACAGCATCTACAGCTTGGTGCCAGAAGCATTAAGATAGATAATTCTGTAGTTTGTCTGCAAACATCGCATTTTTCCAGTTTTTCCATCAGAAGATAAATCTCATGTTGAAGAAGTGAAATGTGGTAATTTATTAGTAATGCTGGTCCTCTTTACAGCTTACAGCTTTTTAATATTGTAAGATCTGAATGCAGGTGGGAAGGGACCTCAGGAGGCTATCCAGTACCAGCGCACCGTCTTCCCCTCCCCTTTCCAGACTAATCGGGCTTTCCTGATGGTCCTGTGTAAAACCCTCTGAGTGAATCAATGTAGCTGCAAGGGTTGAGAAAGCCAGAAAGAGCCCTAATTTCCCAGATGCCCAATGACAGTCTCTGACTGCTTTCCCTCTTGCACTAGGAGAGGTTTGGTCCTCTGTTTGTGAGGATCAATGTGCTTTTCCACTGGTTGCAGTCACATTTAAGAATTTCCTCTTAGTACAGAAGGGGAACTGTGGTGTTTCACCCATCTGTGTTAAATACCACTGCTCCTTCTTAAGGGTATCTGGAGCTAATCAGTTTGCTCCAGCTTTTCCTTCATGCAATTCTATTTCTCACTGTTCCTTTTAATATCAGGTCCCCAAAAATCCTGTATTGTCTTGTTTTATCCTACCCCCACCACCCTGATGAGTGTGCCTGCATCAAAATGAACAAAATATTTTAGATTCAATTGCAAAACACTTTAACACTGGGGGATTCTGGCTCACGTTGTCTGCCTGTGTTTGGTTAAAAGAATAGCATAGCTTCTCCCCCTCTCCCTCCAGCTTTCTGTTCAGCAGTACTCTGTCCTTTTAGTCCTTGCCATATGGTACCCATAAAACTTCTTGCAAGCTGTTTTGGGTATAGCATGTGCCAGCCTCTCAGTTTCTGGCCCTTAATGTTCTTCTTAGTCATCCACAGCTCCACAATCCTTATTAACTTAAGACAGAGCTCTTTGATGGTTGCCTTTATGATGATTTGTCCTCCTTCTAGTCTTGCACGTCTGGAAAGACTCATGAGCTATCTTTCTCTTACTTTGGATTTTGAAGAGTTCACTCTGAACATTTTTATTAGGCATTAATTGCCTCTACCAGTCTCTAGCCGCAGGTTAGTCTGTGTTGAGCAGCCGAAAGCCAGGTAGACGTTTCACTGCTGTGGTACATCTGCCTGCTGTGGTCCAGCTAACCGCCTGGCCACTGAAAGCAAAAGCCTTTGAGCTTATACTTGGGAGTCGCAGCTATGCCCTTCACTCCATTCAGAAGGCCGAGCCTGGCACAGCTCCAGCTTAGTGCCACGTAACGCGCGGTGCCTGGCTCGTGGCCAGCCAGCAGTGGCTATCCAGCACACTTTGCCTCCTTGCTGCCCTGCAACCTCCCGTCTACATCGCTTGCAAGCTTCAGCTCAAAGAGTTGTCACAAGTACCTGGACTGACTTCCACAGGATCTACTGGAGTATAGCCTCTACTTTTCCAACTGGACTTGGCAATTTACATTTCCTATACTGAGATTCTCAGTTTTTGCTATATCTGCTGTTTAATCGCCATCATAAGCAAGTGTTTCATTTGCCTAGTGCTGGCCATGAGAACAGAAAGGAATAAGCAGTGTTTCATTTGGTAAAACCAACAAACCCTTCATTAACTTGCTTGAGAAAGAACTGGTTAGCCTCACCCTCTCTGCCATCCCAGAAGTTGTTACAAAGATACACAGGAGAAAAAAACCCCAAACTTTAACCACGAATTTGTGTTGTTTCAAACTGACTCTGATTTTGTAAACTTGGGATCACAGAAGATTAGTGTCAGAGGACCATGCAATCTGAAAAAATCCCAGTCACAGACCTTGACTCCATTATCCTTGGAGGAACACAGTGAGCATTCTCTGCAGCCTCATACAGGCTACCTCTGATCCTCTTTAGTTGTGCAAAATGTGCAAGGATTAGCAGTACATTATGGATCTGTTTGCTTATTATCAAAAACCCGCACTGAACAGCAGTTCAAAAAGCAGACTTGAAGATACAAGGCTCTGCAAGCATCCATGTCGTTTGGTACTGCTTTCTTCAGCCTGTCACTTCATAGAGTTAGAATTTCAAGAAGTAGCTTACAAAAAGGGAACAGAAACACATTCACCCCTTTTAGGGATGGGATTGGGGAAAAGAAGAAAGTGATCTTTGATTGTGCTGCAATTTTAAATGATTGGTTATAAATACCTCTAGCTGGAGTGCCAAACAAGTCCCGTAGAGTTTCTGGTTTTCTGTCCCAGGAATTCAGAAAGGATTGGGGTCTTCTCCTGCTAATCAGCTACAGCCATCCTCAGTCTGCAACAATCTTTTTAAAAAGCTGCTCTTTTCTGCTAACTTCTGCATTTC